GACGCGGAGGCGCGCCCCTGTAATCCCAGCTACTCAGCAAGCTGAAGCAGGAGAATCACTTGAAATCAGGAGGCAGAGGTTGCAGTAAGCCGAAATCGTGCTATTGCGCTCTAGCCTAGGCAAAAAGAGGGAAATGCCGTCTCAAAAGAAAAAAAAAAAAAAAAAGCAATAATATATCTATTACTCTATTTTATTTATTCTTTTTTTTTTTTTTTGAGATGGAGTCTCACTCTCTCACGCAGGCTGGAGTGCAGTGGCGCAATGTCAGCTCACTGCAACCTCCGCCTCTCAGGTTCAAGTGATTCTCCTGTCTCAGCCTCCTAAGTAGCTGGATTACAGGCAAATGCCTGGCTAATTTTTGTCTTTTTGGTAGAGACAAGGTTTCCCTATGTTGGCCAGAATGGTCTTGAACTTCTGACCTGAGGTGATCCACCTACCTCAAGCCTCCCAAAGTGCTGGGATTACAAGTGTGAGCCACCACACCCAGCTACTCCATTTATTTTTAAAATAGAATTTCTTCCTTGCTCTAAACTTGAGTAGGACTTTCACTCCCACTCTCTGTCCATTCCTATAAGCATACCACACTTTCTATTCTTTCTGCTCAATTAAAAAACTGTTCAAGTGGCTGAGGCAGGCCAATCACCTAAGGTCAGGAGTTCGAGACCAGCCTGGCCAACATGGTGAAACCCCATCCCTACTACAAATACAAAAATTAGCCAGGCGTGATGGCACGTGCCTGTATTCTCAGCTACTCGGGAGGCTGAGGCAGGAGAATCGTGTGAAACTGGGAGATGGAGGTTGCAGTCAGGGGAGATCATGCCATTGCACTCCAGCCTGGGCAACAGAGCAAGACTCTGTCTCAAAAAAAGAGGCCGAGCTTGGTGGCTCACACCTATAGTCCTAGAACTTTGGAAGGCCGAGGCGGGTGGATCACCTGAGGTCAGGAGTTCGATACCAGCCTGAACAACATGGAGAAAACCCATCTCTACTAAAAATACAAAATTAGTAAGGTGTGGCGGCACATGCCTGTAATCCTAGCTACTCGAGAGGCTAAGTCAGGAGAATCACTTGAACCCAGGAGGCAGGGGTTGCAGTGAGCCAAGATCGCACCATTGCACTCTAGCCTGGGCAACAAGGGCGAAACTCCATCTCAAAAAAAAAAACCTTTTCTAAGGCCCAGTTTTATAATTAGACCCAACAAAAGGAAAACTACAGAAAAGCTAAAATTATTTCATAAAAAAATTATCATTCAGGGCAAATCATTTATCCCACTAATTTTGCTTTTCCTTTCTGTTTCACATGTATCTCCAAGAGTTGATTATGTAAGGTTTTTGAGTACTAGAATTCTCATACTTGTTTGCCAAAGCTGAAAAGCTATTAAAGTTATACGAGTTTTGTTAAGAAAACCACCCTACTCCTCCCACAGTAAAATAACAGATCTTTTTAGAGTACCTCATATGCTTCAGATCTGATAATCTTTCCTTCTGAAATTTGGTCTCTTTTTCAAGGTAGTGAAGGTCTACTGTCAATCTTGCCTCATCAGCCTGACAACGTTCATATTTCATCACTTTCAAGACTTCATTTAATAACTGAATAACTGTTAAGAGGTTCAGTTTTCCAGCCTCATAAACATTTCCTATGTGCAACTAAGGAATCAGGAGGAGAAAAAAATTGGTGAACTATAGGTTATTATAATAATAAACTATTACATAAAAATACTTATGTTTTTTATCATTAAAGTTTACCTGAAAGAAAAGAGAAAGGCCAGATGTGGTGGCTCACGCCTGTAATCCCAGTACTTTGGGAGGCCGAGGGGGGTGGATCACCTGAGGTCTGGAGTTGAAGACCAGCCTGACCAACATGGAGAAACCCCACCGACTAAAAATACAAAATTAGCTGGGCGTGGTGGCACATGCCTGTAATCCCGGCTACTTGGGAGGCTGAGGCAGGACAATCGCTTGAACCCAGGAGGCGGAGATTGCAGTGAGCCAAGACCATGCCACTGCCCTCCAGCCTAGGCAATAAGAGCAAAACTCTGCCTCAAAAAAAAGAAAGAAATTCTGAAAGCAGAAGAACACTGCAAGAAAATATACAATTACATCACAGGAGTTTTCTCAAAAGCTTCCTTAATATCAAATGCTTACCTGAAACATTTGTTTCTCAATCTTGTCAAGTAAGAGCCTTGGAATATTAATAGCAACATCAGTTCCATCTAAAGCATAATATTGGTTAACAAGACTAAGGACCGAACTAACAACTTCTCTCTCTTTTTCCAAAAACATGAGCGTTTCATTCACTGAAGCCCACAAAGACCGAACCTTTGGAAACAAAAACAAAATATTAAAGTTCACACATAATCTGTATATATATTTTTTAAATGTAAATATATGTTCACTCTTAGTAACAAATTTCCTAGAATGATTTCTAGTAAGAAAATTAAATAATTATACTTTAATAGTTTAAAACTCCCTTTGGATATTATTTCCAAAGGAAATTTTTGAAAAATGTATCAGGAGAATCTAGCTCACTATAATTTTCAAACAAATCTAAGAATTTTTTTGTTTTTAGAGATGGGGTCTTACTATGTTGCCCAGACCAGACTCAAATTCCTGGGCTCAAGCAATCTTCCCACATCAGCCTCCCAAGTAGCTGGGACTAAAGGCACACACCACTGCACCCAGCTCCAAATCTAAGAAATCTTATGCAAGATACAGTTAGCCTTTTCTATATGCTGACATGTAATCAATCTACCAAAGATCATTTGGGGAGAAATAATTTTTAAAATTTCTCAAGAGAAGCCGGGCGCGGTGGCTCACACCTGTAATCCCAGCACTTTGGGAGGCCGAGGTGGGCAGATCACAAGGTCAGGAGATCGAGACCATCCTGGCTAACACAGTGAAACCCAGTCTCTACTAAAAATACGAAAAATTAGCCGGGCGTGGTGGCGGGAGCCTGTAGTCCCAGCTACTCGGGAGGCTGAGGCAGGAGAATGGCGTGAACCTGGGAGGCTGAGGGTGCAGTGAGCAGAGATCGCGCCACTGCACTCCAGCCTGGGGGACAGAGTAAAACTCCATCTCAGTAAAAAAAATAAAAATTTTTTTCAAGAGAAAAAAACTACTACATCTCAATTTTAAGTCATTCAGTTTGAGGAAGTTAAAGTGTGAGAAATTATGCCTCATTAAAAACAAAAAATCTTAGGCATATACTAATCTATATTCACTAAAATTGATATACAAGAATATTTAGGCAGGCACAGTGGCGCATACCTGTAATCCCAGTTACCCAGAAGACTGAGGTAAGAGGATCCCTTAAGCCCAGGATCCTTGCAAAAAAAAAAAAAAAGAATACTCATAGAATGTCTATTTGTAATAATCAAAAAGTAGAAACAATCCAAAGGTCCATCTACAGTAAAAAGGGTACACTGGTGCTATGTCCATAAAATAGAACACTAAGCAGCAATGAGAATAAACACACTATGATTACACACAATAGCATGGATAAATACCATAAACAATGTTGAGCCAAAGTCAGACACAAAAGAATATATTCTATATACTCGCATTTATATGAAGCTCAAAAACAGGCAAAACTAATCTTTATTGTAACACGTGAGGGCACTGTTTCCCCATGGGGGGAAACAGTGTAAACTAAACAGGTTCAAGGAGGATTCTAGGGTGCTGGTAACATTCTACTCCTTAAACGATATTGGTTACACGGACATGTTCACTTTGTGAAAATTTGTCAAGCTATATACTTATGAGTTACACATTTCTTGTATATACGTTATGCTTTAACAGAATTTACAAAAGAGGGAGGGAGGTGGAGAAATATAATTATACACATGTTCTTCCTGTATGATAAAAATACAGTATTAAATATCTCTAATTAGTTCACTTTTTTTTTTCCTTTTTTCTTTTTTTTTTTTTTGAAACAGGGTCTCATTCTGTCACCCAGGCTGGAGTGCAGTGGCACAATCTTGGCTCACTGCAACCTTTGCCTCCCAGGTTCAAGTGA